AATTTGTATAGGAATATTTTTGTTATTTTTTGTAGACTTTATGCCAAAAAATTGTTGATGTTTTAAATTTTGATGCTTTATTATAAACACTCAATAAATATTAAAAATTCAATACTTTATATTTTTTTGTTTTTTTTCCTGGTAAGCCACTGTGTAATATAACATCACTTATAAAAGTAAAGTTAATAACTCATCAATAGAAATATTCTAAAGAATGAGTGTGTGTCTGGTAAACCTATGTTTCTGCACCTTTATGACAAAGTTAGTGTTATGCTCCTGAAATAGTCAAGACCAGGAAAGTTTGCAGGGATGCTGTTCACAGTGTCATCATCTAACCTTGAAGACTCCTCTGGAGGTTTCACCTACATCCTGCCATGCAGACAAGCTCTCTATCTACAGTTGCCAAATCCTGGGAGGCAACACACCTCCTGCAACTGGAGTTCAGTATTCTGTCTCTGAGGTGAACATCAAGACGGTCATACATGTGCCAGGCCCTGGGAGAACTCCTGCTCGTCCTCTGAGAGTCCAGGGAAATCCCTGGGCACTGAGATCACTGCTCCTCTAAGCCAGGGCCTCCCAGTCACTTCTCCTGTTTCTACACTAACAGTGTCCAACAATCTGACAGTTTCAAGGCCAGGGAAGCTAGAGAGGCCTTACAGCCAGGCCATCCACAGTGTGTTTCAGACAGGACTGGCTGGGCTCCAGCGAGGGAAGTGGTTGCCCTGAAGTCCTGCAGAGTAGTTTTGAAAGAGAGTTTTGTAGGGTATATCACCTGGGTTGGATGTTGCTTTCTTTTATGTGTTGAAATACCTCACTCCAAGCTCTCCTGGTCTTAATGGTTTGTGTTGAGAAGTGTGCTGTATTTCTAATGGTTTTACATTTATAAGTGATTCCTTGCTTTTCTTTATGAGGTTATAAGATTCTGTTCTCACCTTGGACTTCCCAGGTATTGACTGTCATATGTCATGGGGAGATCCTTTTCTGATTGTGGCTACTTGGGGTTTCATCTGTCTTTCTTATCTGCATGTCAGGTTACTTCCCCATATTCAGAAAGTTTTCTGCTATTGTTTCTGTCACAGATTTTTATGCCATCTGTGCTGTCTTGTGGTTTTTCACTTATTCCAGTTAGTTGTCTGTGCACCATCTAATAGCTGTTGGATCTACTGTCCATGTTCCAGTTTTGTAAGGTGTCCCTGAGTATTTGGGCACTGACACCAGCCCTGTCTTCTAACTCCAGGGCTCTGTCCTTGTGGTCATTTCTGTTGCCCACACTTTGGATACAAGTTTAATTCTCTAGGATTTCTGTTTGGTACCATTTATGGACTCAAATTCGTTGCTAAGTCACTCATTTACGTTGTGTATCATGTCTTTTTTTTAGCTCAGGTAATTTTGTAATAGTGTATTTTGTAAATGTACTGATCATTCTGTTGAATTTAAGCTTTTATCACCTTGAATAATTCAGATGATAATTCACTGTCACTACTGTGGAAATCTCTTTAGTGCTTTTCAGTGATGCTCTAAGAGGTGTTTCTCTCCATTGTTTAAGTTTTAAGAACACTTGTGTCTGTTCTTTTCAAGGGTATTGATGTGTAGTTATCTCTCTGATACTTGTGTCTGCTCTGAATAATCACAATAACAGTGACCTCATAAACTGGGAAATTTTGCTCCTCAAATTCCTATGACAGTGTATAAAACTGATACTTCTTCTACCTTCAGTGTTTGGTAAAATTCAGCAGTGAAGCTAATCAAGCCTGAAGTTACTCAGAAAGGTCTAACGAATTCAGTGTCTTCCATTGAAATGAGGCACAGGCCCATAGACTTGGGCCCTTCTTGTCTTTCAGGAAATTTTTTCCCTGCATCAAAGCTTTCAAACATATCCGCTAACATTCTCTCCTTTGTTTTAGGTTATATTTTTGGCCCTGGGAATTGAACTCAGGGCCTTGCGCTTGCCGGGCAGGCACTTTGTCACTGAGCTCCATTCCCATGCTTCCTCTTAACTGTTTACTCTTTCAGGTTCTAGGTAAATAGTGCTGTCCCTAGTGTTAATTTCTAAACGTATTTCATCATAGTGAGACAAAATTCTCTGCATAATTGAAATTCTTTTAAATTGATTGGGGTTTATTTTGTGACTGTGTTGGAAACATTTCCTCCATGTACAGCAGTGAATACTGCACTGCTGTTTGGATGGGATGCTTCTGTCAGTGGCAGTTGGTATAAGTTTGTCCATAATATACAACCTTTTTTACCAGAAGAACATGGCGGATAGATAGCAGCAGCCTCTGAGGCTCTCGGAGAAACTGCACTTGAAATCTAGGAATGGTGCAGGACAGGAAGATCCAGGCAAGGGGGGATATTCTTTGCTGACCCAGGAATGAACTAAATTAAGAGAAACCATCTGGAAATGCAATCCTGGCAAGATAGCAGGCACAGATAAGGTCTCAGCACGGAAGCTGGACCCGCACCACTGGAAACTGCAATTTGAATTACCTGCAGCTGCTGTTGCATAGCAATTTGAATTACCTGCAGCTGCTGTTTCACAGCAGGGAGAGAGGCGCAAAACCTCGGAGAGTGAGAAGCGTTGAAAGGAGATGGGAGCAGGACTGGCCGGTGCCCTGCATCGACCTGCCAGTGAATTGGACCCTTACATAGAGAAGGAGGCTTCAGCAGAGTACATACTTGGACCAGGCAGACTTCCCGGAACAAGAAGCTGCAGTGACTTCAGTCACATATCCCCCTCTCAAGCGGGATTGGTGGGGAGTGCCTGGCCTGTGAGAAGCCGCTGGCTGAGACCCAATAGGATAGCCCAACTCAGGTCCCAGTACCTGAAGGCGCACCCTAGCAGTGAAGCCTTGGGGGTAGGTTGACCTGGAGGGGCGGGCCCAGAAGAGGCTGCCCAGGTCTGTGTCTCCCTAGTACACTGCAGTGGGCAGGAACACCTAGCCGGCAATTCAAACAGACTGTGGCTGACAGGGAAGGAAGCTGGGCCTCCTATACACGCTTAATATAAGGAACAAAGAATATGGGAAAAGGGAGCAACAAGAAAGGGTCCTCAGTCCCCAATCCCGAGAAACACGCAATAGTAGACATGGGACCAATAGATATAAAGTGCTATCTCCAGAGCCTCATAGAGGAGTTCAGGAATGAAGTTATGAATGACCCGAAGCTAGACATAAGCAGAATAGTTAGAGAAATGCTAAGTACCACCCAGGAAAAAATAGATGGTACAATGGAAGAACAGAAAAAAAGGGGATAATTGTTTGATGGAGAAAATAGAGAAAACATAGAATACATGAAGGAGGTTCAAAGAGATTACAAGGAAACTAAAAACTCTATTGAAAACTGGCATAACAGCTTGAAAGAAACTAAGGACAGATTATCTGAACTGGAGGGCAGATTTGTAATATGGGAGCATGTAATGAAAAACTTCTTAAAAATAACAAAAAAACAAACAGCAATAATACAAAAACTAGAAGATGATAAGAGGATCTATAACTTAAGAATTAAGAACGTAAGAGAAGAAGTGGGGACACAAACAAATAGACTCAAAAGCTATTCACAGAAATAATCCAAGAGAATTTCCCTAATTTGGCAAATAGTAAAGATACTCAGATATATGAGGCATACAGGACCCCAGCAATCTACAACCCAAACAGAGCTACACCCAGGCACATAATAATCAAAATTCCAGAAATCCAATATAAGAACAGAATATTAAAAGCTGTCAGAGACAAGAAACAGATCACTTACAAAGGAACACCCATCAAAATTACAGCAGACTTCTCGGCACAAACCATCAAATCATGAAGAGTGTGGGGGGAAATAATTCAAGCTTTGAAAGATAATAACCTCCAGGCAAGATTGATGTATCCTGCACAACTGTCCCTAGAAATTGATGGAAAAACAAGGTGCTTCCAGGATAAAGAGGAACTAGGGGAATTTGCAACCACTAATTCAACTCTACAGAGAATACTGCAGGATAGTCTAAAAAAAGAAAATACCAAGATTCCAGAAATAGTGGCTGAGAGGCCACAATGAATGGAGCAGAAAACAAAATGAAGAAGACAAACTGACAACAAAGGACAGAAAAAGAGCTCAACAGAAATGAAGTAGAGAAGACTGGAAGGTAGGAACAGCAATTTTGGAGAAAACGAAACATCATAATAGCTAGTGCTGATTTAGTATCATCTTGTTTTGAAGTCCCATCAAATGTGTATTCTTCAGTCTCCATTGGTGTTAAAAGGTTGTATCTTATTGCATTTTATTATATATGATAGTATAAGCAAAAACTTTTATAGACAAGGAGTTTATATAGAAACCATTGTTCATTTTCTGTCAATTGGTTCTAAATACCCTGCAATAATGTCATTCTCTTGAATGGTTTTATAGTGTCGTGATATCTTTGGTGCTACAGTATAAGAAGTTATACTCAAAGATTTCAAGGAAAGAGACACTATGGTAACTATTTTTATGTCAGGATATCTTGTGGTGAAACACTGGTTTGCTTAAATGGTTATGATTTGACCTGCGCTGTTCTGTTGTTAGGCCCTCTTTTATCTCAGGCCCCCCCCTTTTTTAAATTATTTACTTTTTTAGTTTTCTTTTTTTAATTAAGGGAAAATAAATAAAAAATAGCAGGGTACATTATAGTAACCTACTTTGATTTCCTATTAACTTGATTTGAAATCCTGTATTGCCCTCACCATCTTGTTTTGACTGATTTTTCCCCTATTCTGCTTTGCTTGATAGTACCAATATCGAAAGTATAGGCATAACTGTGAACACAATAAGAATCATTATGACGCCCATTCTGATTGACTATTATTTTCTTTTAAAATCCTGTAATGTCTCCAATGCTTTGGTTTTATTCTTTACTGTTTAGTTCAATTTTATTATAACTGCCAATTCTTCTTAAAATAGCAAGAGGCAGTATGGTAACTGATAGAACTGTGGAGTGGAAGGAAGAGGAGGAGGACTGGCGGCGGCTGAAGAGATAAGAAGTATAAAATATAAGTAACCTTTATTTTGGGAATGCGGGGAGAGACACCCCTGACCCCCTGGGGCATGGCATCTCCACCCCGGGGCCAGCGATCTCTCTGTGGAACACGTGGAGTGAGGCATATAAGTAACCTCAGCCTGGGGTGGAACCTAAGGGGCATTAGGGATGCACAGGTAGCCCATTGGTCTTAGTTTGGCGCCAGAAGTAATTTCTAAAGGTGGGGGGAGATAGGAGCTCCCTGGCTTTACTGGCTACAGTATCCGGCCTGGGCCGGCAACCCTTTCATATCCCATCTTATGATTATTAGGAAAAGGGGCAAAGATTTCTCTCTTTAACTACTTCCTGCTGGCCGAGGGCACTGTACTGGAGTCTAGGGGAGTCGACGGGATGACAGTTGATGTCTAGGTAGAAGCTGGTGCCAGGAGTTTTAGCCATGACAACTTCACTGGTGAATGCACGTATGTTAGACTGAAAAACACAAAGAGACAAGATGTTATGAGGAGACATGGCACTGTCATATTTATGGACCCAAGAGAGGTAGAGGGAAAGGTATCTTTGATTTAGACATGTTATTCTATCAGGATGACGTTGAGGTGGGAACATTTTTATGGCAAGGCAGAATTCTGAAAAATTAAATGTGGGATTAGGAGGAGTGAAGTCATGAGACGTGCTTACTCCCCCATATGAAAGCATAAAAGTTAAAAGGTAGGTAGGTAAGGCTTGTCTCTGGTATATATGATGTTGGAGTCTGTAGGCAATCCTGTTAGAGAGTCCTGCTATAGAAATGATCATTAATAGAATGTAAGAAATTAAGAACCAAAGTGGATGACAAAACATGAAAACCTGTGAGTCGTAAGGCAGAGATGAGTATCAAAAGTATGGTTAGATCTAGGGCCTGAGTGATGTGAAATCAGGATGGCAGTTTAAAAGGGAATAAAAGCATTTTAAGATTTAGGACTGGGGCCTATATAAAATAGGCCCTGTTTGTAACTGGCATAGGTTGACCTTTAATATTCCGTGAGACACTTAGGATTTATTAGCCTGAAAACTCATTAAGAACTCTGTATATGTGGCCTCTTATGTCCACGAATATAGAGATCACCTAGTATTTTGTTTTTACATTATTATGTCCATCCTTTTGATTTGACTGACTGATATGTCGCATTTGGTTTTACTCTCTTCAAAAAAAAAAAAAAAAAATAAGAACTGTGGGAGTCATAAAACCCAAACTGTGTAACTGCCATTCTACAAAAAAAAAAAAAAAAAAATAAAAATGCTCTAAAGGTTATAACTGCATATATGTTTAAGTGTATAAGATAACCATATTACTGAGTGGGGTTTTTTTTGGATCATTGAACAAAACTGTTTGCACTCTCACTGTTTGAAAGTCCACTTTATGTGCTTCAATTTTCTAATTTGAACAACTATTTCTAAGATGAGAATATGTAATCTATTCACTAGTGATTTCTTACTGTTTATTTTTTAAATTTTATATTACTTGTACCCTTTTTCTGTTTTTTTTCTTTTTTCTCCTTAAATAAAAAAAATTACCTTCTGAAAAAAAATACAATCTTTTGATCCCTAAAAATTGTGTTTAATTTTTCTATTAAATTGTGAGGACATTGAAATGTCTGACTATAATTCTGTATTCAGTTGTCCTTTTATCAGTTTTTTGCACATTTCGAAGCTCTGTGCACATGTGTTCTGAATTCTTACACACTTGTGGTCAATTGGTGTCTTTCTCCTGAAACAACCTGTTTTATCCTTGGGAATGCAGTCTTCACTCAGAAATTGACTTTCCCTGACGCTCCTGTTGTCACTGCAACTGCCTTGGGCATTGAACTGGCCAGAGCTTTGTGTATCCTCTTTTGAGCAAATTGTACTCATATTCAGACGGGATTTCTGGTCCACTGAGGTAGAGATAGCAACACGGAAGGAGAAAATTCCCCTTAGGCACACAGTAGACAGGCACATTCCAGTAGAACACAGGGCCCTGACTGAGCAGAAGTTGGAAGTGGGGTAGTCTACGTAGGTAGTTTCCAAGTAGCAGCCCATGGTATCCATAGCAGAGCTGGGAAATAATAATTTCCTGTGCAAATCCTGGCAAACACTACCATCAAGAAGATGCAGCATCACATCAGCAGTTGTTGTGTTTAGGGACATCATGACCCTCCTAGTGTGACACCTGGGGTGGGACCGTCAACTCTGCAGTGCTCTTGATAGAAACACATCACCATAGTCTCAGCATGAGGGAATGTCAGGCAGCCAGCCAACGGACCTGTGCAGAGGAACAAGGACAGCGTTCCTGGTAGACAGCGGACAGCCACAGATGGGAGGAGACAGCGGTGTCCCCGCCACTGCACACAATGTGGAGTCCTAGATAGGTCCTGTAAAAGACAGATGGGAGAAGCCCAGGTGAACTGTCCACTGTACTTAGCAGTACTGCAGGAACGTCCACTTCCTAATGTCACTCATCGTCCTTCGGATCTCTTACGTTCCTCCTGTCTGAAGAAGCCAGGTGATCAGTGTATAGGAACTCAATGACCTTCTTAAAATCTGAAACTATTTCTACATAAAAGGAAAATAAAGCTAATAAGCAGCTTCTTTGTAGGTGCAATGGTTAATCTCACCTGACAGTCTGTGCTTTGTAATTGGTGATGAATGCAAATCACTGCCCTGTGTTCACTCAGCTGGGTTCCAGCCTGTCTTCCACCCTTTGTTTGCTCTTCCCTGATTTTCCTCCTCCCTTTGGATTAGTATTCGCGTCTCTCACCCTGCTGAGCCTCTATCCTGTTGCATGTATGTTGCTGCCTTCCAGCGTGTGCCATTGGTCAGCCAGGCCTCCCTTCAGCAGCGACCCACCAGGCCACGTGTGTGCAGGGAAACAGTGTGACATTTCTGCCTTCCCAGGCTGTGTGCTGCTGTTTCCTACATTTTATTTCTGTGCTCACCGTGGACCTCACTGTACCTGGCCATTATTCTTCTTTCCATTGGGACAGAAGGTGCCTAACATGAACTCACCCTCATTGCCCTCAAGTGCACAGCCCCTGGCATTGGGCACCTCAGGGTGCTGGGTGACCATCTCTGCCTGCACCTCCACAGGGCCTGTGTCACAGGGCTGCTATCCTCTATGAAGTGTTGGTTTGACTTCATGAGTAATTGGGAGAATGATAAACTTGAGTTTTTATGACCACCACTTGTTCCATTCCTGGTGATCCTCACACTCATATCACTGCCTTCCTGGGAAGCTTTCCTGTCATCTCCCATGCTGAGCAGCTCTGCTAAGGAGGGACACCCTGGCCACCCATGTGTCTGCGGCCATCACAAGAGGCCTCTGTGCTGACAGCAGCAGCTGGCAGGCCTGAGAGATATATATCTGTGTGACACATGTGTGAGTCAGAATCATTGCCCTGAGAGAAGGGGACCAGACACAGACCACACACACTGTGAACCCATGTTCCTGAGACTCAAAAGGGAAAGCAATTTAACTATGAATAGACCCATGGGAGCCTGGGCTGACAACAGGGGCTGGCTCCAGGGTCACAACGCTATCCCTGTGTGAGTGCTCGGCCACTGGTGCCCAGCCTAGAGCTGGCCTGGGCTGAAAGAGGGAGCTGGGACAGATCAGCACTGCCTGGCTTCCTTCCATGGTGCCTGGGTCGGGTGTTTGCCTGTGTCCTTGCAGTGTCCATGCTGTTAAATGACAGGCCTTCCTCACCATCCCTGAGAGCTTCCCCACTCCCCAGCCTGTGTGAGTTTATCTGGGGGTGCTGGTCAGACGCTGAGCTGCTGTCAGGGGTGGAAAAGTAATAGCAAGAAAATATAGGAGCCTTGGGTTTTGTGAGACTTTTCTGACCCTTCTTTCTCTGGCCCTGGAGCAACAATTCCCAGCGAGGCCCCATCTCACCCCCTTGCCTGGGGAGTTCTGGTTTGGGTTGTGGAGACCCAAGGGTGGGAAGTGGGCTCAGCATCCTGCAGGTGGAGGTCCACGATGCTGCTAACCATCCTGCCATCCCATGGAGGCCTGGCTGAGATCCCCCACGGGGACCAGAACCTCACTACAGCACAACTAGACAGAGCACTGCCCCACTCCAACCCTGTGGCCTGCTGTGGGAGGGTGAGGTCCAGTGGGCTGGGGTCTAAGTGAGATCACAGGAAATGGAGGAAGTGGATCACCTCAGAAAGACAGGAGCACCTGTGACAGAAGTGGGAACCAAGCGTTTCCAGGACAGTCCACACTGTGCAGGTCATCGGGGTGTCAAAGTGAAACACACCAGCTCTTATACAAAATCTGATGAGTCCTTCCCTGTGACCATGGCCATGATGGCTCCCTGTAATCCTCTCCCTCCTGCCTCCCTGGGAGGAGCCACTGTTACTCAAAGCTGGCTATTGTGTCCCTGGATAAGAGGCAGCTGCTGAAGCCAGAGCCTAGTACCCTTCCATCTGCAGCTTGGAGTGAGAGTGGCTCCTCCCAGGCTCAGCAGACTGGGACCCTCCCTGGTCCAGTTTTTGTGGGGCTAAAGCTGGGTCCTTGGCGTGTCATATCCTGGATGTGGACCAGAAAGGTCACAGGCAGCAACTTTCATGGTGTCACTCCCCAGGGTCTGCATGATGAGGATCACAGGGTGCCAGGGCATCACACTGCCCGCATGGTGCTCACCACACAGGTGGTGCAGAGTAAGAGTCCTGCAGCCTCCAAGCTGGCTGTCCAGCAGCCTCCCAGGATCCCTCCTCGGTGTACTCCAGGCTCTCCAGGCACAGGAGTGCCCGGGACAGCATACAGACCTCCGCAGCGGGAATCAAGTGGAGAGCCTGTGGCTGGCCACCAGGAGCGCCTGACACCTGGGTGGAGCACAGGAGCTTCCTAGTAGCTCCTAAGGAAGGGGAGCAGGTCCTGCCACACTGTGCAAACTCAAACAGAGCCAGGCCACACCAGCAGAGGCCCAAGCAGTCCCACAACATGTAGGTGGCTGAACAAGATGACCAGGATAGCCAGGGGTTCTCAACCCAGGCTTGAGGGTCACCCAGCTGCTTGTGGAGATGCCAGGGATGGTGAGGACAGGCCAGAGGTGCTGCACAGTCTCATGCAAAGCTGGGGTTGTTTAGCCAAAATGCCCACAGTGTCCAGTTGAGAAGCCCTGCCTTATACCTCATGCTGGCAATGAATTTTGGGGTTTGCTATGGGGGAAAAATGACAAAAACAAAGAAAACTTTCCACTAAAAAACAAGGATAAAACCTTTCTGAGAAATGAGTAAACTGTGGGAGGCAGGGTCATGGGTGGAGAATGGGATGGCACCCTGAGCAGACTCTGGGGGTCCCACATTGGCCAAGGTCAGGGCAGAGTGGCAGAAAGCCCCAGGAAAGGAAGTGGGCTGGTAGCAGCCTTTGAAGGTCTCACTGGCCAAGGCCTGTATCAGGCTTCTGGGGCCCACATGCCATCAGGGGGGAAAGTTCCCTGCAATAACCACTCCCCCAGAGAATCTTCCCCCAGTGGAAGCTGGCTGGCTACACACCCTTGTGGGTTGTATGTGGCTGCTGGGGCACATGCCCTCATCTTGTCCTCCACTGACAATGCTACAGCAGGTGGCTGAGTGCTCTGTTGCTATTCAAAAGCTACAAAAGGCTTTCTCAGAAGCCCCCTGAGGCATATGGTGCCCATCTTCTGGAAACCGATGGATGCAGGAATTTCTGCACACATAGAAACAAATACCACCAACAGCCAGGACTTTGACCAGGACTTTCCCAGTACCCTGACGCCCACCATGCAGGCTGCAGCTGCTCCCTTGGGCTGAGTGGGCCCCTGCAGGGAAAGTATGTACAGGGACCCAGAAAGGAGCATGCAAGCAGCTGAGAGGGCTCCACTCAGTTTCATTCATCAGCAGAAGACATGGGACACGCAGAACAGACAACAGGGGACACATGCTGGCCAGGCCCTTGGCCTTGGAGTGGTTTCCAAAAGCCGAGTGAAAGAAGAAGGAAGGGAAAGGGGAGGCCTGGCCCATGCAGCACACCCTTCTGGCCACAGAGGGCCCTGCTCTCTTGGCCCTTCTGGGGTGTCCTTCTGTCCCCTACTGAGTGCTCAACCTCAGTCTTATGCACACTGCTAAGCAGGCAGCTATGGCCAGACATATCACAAGTTTTGAGAGAGAGAGTTTTATAAAATTAATACTTGTAAGGTCTCTGTTATGCCTAATTTAAATCCATGCCTCAGCTTAAGGTCCTTCCTACTTAGCTTAATATATATTTTTTAAAAGCTTTTGCATCCTCACAATGAAAGTTGAGAGCAAAGCCAAGTATTGAACTGAGACTAGGACTCACAGGGTAAACAGAGCTCAGAGACCATAATCACCTAAAGCAGGACAGGTGTCAAGGTTTGTGTCTGGATGTCCCCACAAAGCCTCATGCAGGCATGGAAGTCACTGCATCTAGCATTTGTGATTGGTTCATTGTCTAATGCTGGGATTGGCTGTGTGAGTGCTGCACCCACCTTGGGGCAAGAAGCTTGTATACAATATAAGGAAGAAGGCAATCTCTTCCCTTTTTTCCCTTTGCTAGCTCTTGTCATCTTTGGTACCTGCCACCACCATGAAGGGTTGCCCCTGTGCCACACCACCCTGCCTTGGAGCCAGCAGAGTACAGACTGAAACCTCCAAATACTGTAAGCTAAATAAACTTTTCCTTTCTTCACTTTGGGTGTCAAGTATTTTGTCTCAGCAACAAGAGAAAAGTAACCAAGAGAAGTGGTGAGAGAAAGAATCAATGTGTGCTTTGTGGCTCCTTTCACTGAGGATTACAGGTTAACTCCCACTTCTCAAAGACTCAGAAACCACAAAGTGAGGGGCTTGTGACCCTGCCTGATAACACTGCTGGGTGCCAGGGCCCCTGCCCACTGAGGACTTTGTCCAGGGATGAGCTAGCAACATCATAATCACTAGCAACTGTAGGAAGCAGCCCTTGAAACTCAATGCCAAAAGAGACCAATAAATCTAACCCTTAGTAAGTACAGGTGCAAGACAAAGACATCAATTGGTACTTCACAAATGGGTATTTTTCTAGTTTTTCATGATAACAACAATAAAAGATTGCACCTGGGCAGGAACTGTGCAGCAGCTCAGATGCTAGAGATGGATTTGAGGAGCTGGAGCAAATCCTGGAGGTTGTAGGGAAAAGCCTTCATAGGGAGTGAAATGCATCACATGCTATCTCTGCTAGATTCATGTCTCAGGAGATTACCAACTGAATTTAGCAAGGACCTTAAGAAAGGTAGCAATACTCCTTAACCAAAGCAGTGAAAGTCTGTGAGCTTAAGACTCAAGGCAGAATCCTGCTTAATGTCATCGAGCACTAATCTTATCACTCTCTCCACACAAGCATGTAATCATATATGTATGTGTCACATGCAGGAGCACACACACAGGCTAGTGTCCTTAAGAATGTCTTGTGCACAGTAAGCCAGGCCTGGTGGCACACACCTGTAATCCCAGCATTCTGGGAGGTTAAGGTGAGAGGACTGCAAGCTTGAGTCCCACCTGGCCACTTAGGAAGGCCTTGTCTCAAAATTAAAATAAAGTCAGACAGTCTTAACTTGTGCATAGGAGAGGAAATCCTGCCAGAGGAGTTGCTTAGGTACAGTCCAGAGGTTGGGAGCTGCCGTTTTCATTTACCAATAAAGACTCTCAGGTTGTGATGACCTCTGCTCTACCCCCACAGGCAGCTTTGAGCAGGGTAGATGAGGTCTCAGAACAACAGCCCCGTCCCGAGTCCCTGCTTCTTTCTGTAATGCAGTTCCAGCTGGTGTGTACACAGAACAATATTTAGATACTTTGAAGCCAGGCATGGTGGCACAAGCCTGGAATCCCAGTACTCAGGAGGCTAAGCCATGAGGATTGTTATGAGTTCAAGGCCAGCCCTGCACTAGAAAATCAGACCCTGTCCCAAAAAGCAAAAAGCAAAACCAAAGAAAGGAAAAGAACAACAGAAACCTTGGGCCTGCTGTCTGTGCCAGGCAGCCTGGCTTCACACGTAGCTAGAGGCCCCGGGGTCCAGGCTGCACACCCAGGATGACGAGTAGGACAAGAGGACAACAAACTTTCAGGCCAGAGGAGGTTTAAGCACTTCCTTCTCTTCCTGTAAGAAAAGGATTTTCATTATCATTAAAATGGTAGTTTTTCAGAAGGAGCCAAACAGGACAGATTAGCACCTCCTGGTGGCACAGGTCTCTTCCAGGAGAAAGGGGAAAAACCAAGAGAGAAAAAGAGAACGCAGTCTGAACACAACTAGTTAGAACAAAGACCTTAAGAGACCAACACCTGGGCAGATGGAGATCCACAACGCAAGGCCCACCTGGCACAGGGGCAAACACTGCCGTCCAGCAAAGGAGCAAACCTCCAGACCTTGCGTCTGGCCTCAGCCTCAGAGCTCACAGAGCCGCACTCACATGCCACACAGGGCACTGCCAGCCTCCCCTGAAGCAAGGAGATGGTGGAGTTACTCAAGAGCTAAGAAATGATAAACTTAATACCGTACAGCTAGGAAAGCCTGACATAACATTCCCTTGCAAGTGACAGAAATCTTCGCCTCTTGCCAACACACCCCAAGGGAAATGGAATGAGGAAGAACTTGAGCCCAGAAGCACCATCCTGTGGCCAGATTCCAGCTGTCTAGTCACCAGGAAAGGTGGAGACGGTACAGGAGAAAAATGTCAGAGAGGCCAGGCAGATTGTACCACAGCCCTTCCTCGGTGCCCAGGGACTTTGTGGAAGCAGACTGCCAGACCTGGAGAAGTTTAAACAGAGCCAGCATGTTAACTCACTAGTTTTTACAAAGAGGAAAAAAGTGATAGTAAAGCCAAAGAGAAGGAGAAACCTTAATACAATAGCACCTACTGACTCCCAACTTTCCTTCAGGAAGTATCCCCACCTGGCTTAGCCAGGCTTTCCCAGTCCACTGGAACATAATGGAAGAGGAGGAAGAGGAGGAGGGGGGGGAGGAAGGATAATCTGTTTGGTGTCCCTAAGATTCACTTGTCTCTATTATTTAATATAGACACACAGCACCAAGATTCTGGTGTGCAAATAGGCTTGAAGAACATCGGCTGTTAGGAGCCACTGAAAGGAAGAGAACAAGGCAGCATCTCCTGAGAATCAGCCATGCTGGAACTTGGGGGACCCACCAAAAAAGCAACGAGCCATCCTTACTGCTAAACACTGAGAGCTGCAGGCTCACCAGGGGGGAAAACAAGTCAGTGTCTCCTGTGGGCCTACGTGCATGTGGGCCTAGAATCAAACATCCCACTCTGCACGCTGCCCCACCCATTAGTCACTGGATGGTGTTGAGGACAACCTGCTTTGATAGCAACTATGATACATAAAGCAACTAAGTGCTTGTATGTTTGGTTTATTATGCTGACCTGCAGCCAGGGGTCTTAGCATCTCTTGGGAGGATGACTGTATGCAATATGGCAAATAGGGGGATTTCCTTCTATCTTGTCTTTGAAGGCAAATACTGCTTTCACTCTTTTGCTTTGTTCTGATTGTTTTGCTGTGTTCAATATTCTGTTTGATTGGTTTTATATTGCTCTGTCTTTGGTATGATTTTTATATACCTGATTGAATGGGCAACTATTGTGAAGAAAACAAGGCATACTATGGTAGCTATTATTGCCATCCCAGTATCCTGCTCTGAAATTCTGTACCAATTTCACTGCATTGTCTTGATTTGCTTTGTTTTGTCTTGTTTTGCTATATTTTACTATCTTTAAAATGAAAAATAAATAAATATACATATAAAAACTGGAAATTGAACACATGTACAGGGCAGATGCAAGCCTGGGGCAAGATAAAGGCTGAGGACACCTGGCTCCAGCTCCAGTTATGTAAGGACGGTAGCCACAGGCATTTCACCCCTGTACTGAAATGCAACATGAGGGTCTTCTCCTAAGATACTTACCCTTGTTAACATCATTTGCTACTTGCAAAGTCTTTGGACCACTCCCAGATCTGTTCATTTGCCTGGGTTTTCTACTCTAACCCCCTAAGTAAACATGGGTGACCCAGAGACACTCCCTGTCTTAACCACTAGAGTCCCTGAACTCTGTAGAGGGCTGTGATCCTCCTGGAGCCCTAAAAGCATACCACTTACCTCATTTAGGTTAAGCCTTCACTGTACACTCATTTGGGGGATATTGGAGATCTAGGCCAGGTACCTGATAACTGGTGCCTGGAACAGAAACCTGAAACCCTGGACTAGGAATTGTAGCCTGAATAAGTAAGCCCACCCTGAGTGGAAAGTCTGGGTAAGGAGGAGGTCTTCACAGGATGAAAAACCTCACCGGGGACACCAGGAGAAGAGAGGGAAGAACAAGGCTGAGTCTTCCTGCTGTGAACAAGCTGTTTTATCCAACAGTAAAACCAGAGCCAGGGATGTAGCTCAGTGGCTGAGCATCTGCCTGGCAAGCTCAAGGCCATGAGTTCTATTTCTAGAAACAACAACAAAAATAGGCAAAAGCGTTCAGCGGAGGAGCAAAGGTATGTATGGCTGCTCTAAGGCCTGCTTAAAGGTCCGAGGGTTTATGTGCCAAACAAAAGACCTAGAAAAAGGTTAAAAGAAGTAACCAAATATAATATGTGGTTTCCTCAGATAGGCACTATACATATTCATCATTGGGAACGAGTTGAAAAAAATCTTAAAAAGGCACGTAATAGGGGAAAAATCATTTCCCCCTAAGAGGTTCTCAGTTTGGAACCCACTTCATTCAGTTTCAAGTCTGTTACAGAGCGCTTACTCAGTAAATTCTGATTCAGACATGGACAGGGTAAGAAGAAACAGCAGGGGAAGGGACACTTCTCATTTGCACCCGACAGGGGAGAGAAATGAATAGGTAGTGAAAGACAGATGGGCTTGAGAGAAGCCAGAGACACAAACAGGCTACGAGAATTCAAAGGGAAAACTGGCTTACAATAACCAAGGGAAAAAAGTGTCTCTATCTTACCAGTTGTTAGGAATGGGACAAATACATTCTAAAGAATCACAAATGTATATGCAACTGTTTATTGTATGTTGGATTCCAGTATTTACTCTCCTTTTGTAGATTTTGATTAAAATGTGTCTTGATGATTATGGGCTTGTTGGGATGGCCACAAGGAAACTGGCTTGGTTCAACACTTCAAAATCAAATCCCAACTAGAGCAAGGACAAGGATGTAAAGAAACAAGGTTGCTTGTTTTGCTGCAAGGGAAAATCAAGGTTACAGTTCAACCTACTCAAAACACTGTTCAAATCTCCCCGAATTCTTGCAGTGCTCAATTTGTTATTCTTCCCTTGAGAAAAATTGGGAAATCTGTAAATTAAAAAAGGGTATCTAGGGGCTGGGGGTTTAGCTCAGTGGCATAAGCACCTGCCTTGCAAGCAGGCGGTCGTGAGTTCGATCCCTGGTACCGATAAAAATAAAAAGACAAAAAAAAAAAAAAAAAAAGGGTATCTAAAGGTTTTGGATCTTCTGATACTTATTGGGTTCCACAGATTAAGCAGGCCAATCCTAATATACAATTGACAAGTAAAGAAAAAGCATTTAAAGGGCTTTTAGACAGAGGAACAAGTGCCTCAGCTATTGCCCAGCACCGTGGGCCTGTGGCATGGCCTCGGATGTGACAACTACAGCTCTACAGGTCTGAGCAATGTTTCTCACC